CCACCCCCAAAAAATCTAAGACAACAACCTCAAGTTAGCTATCAAGTACTCTGACAGTTCCTTCTTCTTGGTGAAGTTCCAGTGTAAGCAGCATCTATTTCAATTTACTATAATACGAATAATGGCAATTGGCAAGTGAGGAAAAAAGAGCTAGCAGAGAAAATGGAGTTGAATGTGATTTGTAGCCACTAAGAGCTCGCAGATGGCTTGTAAAGGCTCTGCGGGTAAATGGATACAAAATCACATGGCTTAAAAACTTGAACCCACAGCTGTTTGTCACCCCAGTGACTGCTATCTTTGGCATTTCCAAATGAGGGCATCTGGGAACAGCCAATAGGGCTGATGAAACCTGGGTTACTAGCAACTATCCATCAAAGATTGTACCTTCCCTCCTAAATGTGCTTATTCAGCAACATTGGCAAAGTGGAATCCTCTAGCCAGACCCTTTCGAATAACTTGATCTGAACCTGTAATTTCCTTTCTCTGATTTCCATCCCTGCTGACAGCTGATCTTTCTTTCACATTTAGGAACTATTTGCCTAAATATTCTAACAAATATAGTTGTCTATGGAAAATCATATTGTGCTTAATTTTCTCACCCAAGATACTGGTTTAAAAAAAAACTATAAAAAAATAACTCACATTGATTTACTCTGCACCAAACCAGAACTGTTACAACAGGCTTACTTTAAAGTTAATAAGAAGCATTACTGGGGGAGTTATGGTATTTTGGTATGGTAATTTGTTCTTTAATTCCATTTTCGAGTCAATGCCTTATTTCTATCAGAAATCAGAAGCACAGAACACATGCAACAGAGACTTCCCAAACTCAAGAATCATAATATAGTCTCAGTAAAAAAAAAAAAAACATGCAAATTACTTACAAAAATGTAAGCTTTTGACTGCTCAGATACCAGGAGAAAAAAACAACAACTCAGTTATCCAGGAGCAACAACAAACCTTTCTACAACTTCTGTAGTTCTTTCTCTGCCTTCCTGCAGCACACAAGTACTCTCATGAGGCTCATAAACCCCATCACAAAACTGGTGGTCAACATCTGGTGTTAATTTACCCAAGCAATGTAAGTTTCCAGGAACCTACTTACTTTCTTAGTAAATATGTTACAGAAACAATGCTTTTAAAAGCACCACCAAAACAAAAGCAAAACAAAACAAAAAATCAGACCCTAATTCAACTGGTAGCTGAGAAGATTCCTGGTAGACTGAAGCTAAGTCTCCTTACTTGACTAATGTGCTGTAAGCTGACACCTAACATGCGGCGTTTCTGCCATGGCCTGCTCCCATAAATAAATATCCTGCAGCACTCTGTAGCTGCCTGTGACAACTAACCTATGAGGACCAACCAGAGGATTGCAGTAAGGAGACAGAACAGATGTGACGTCACAACTAGGATGAGTTACATTAGTCAATCTTCCAGTACTCAACAAAATACCAGAGACAAATCAACTTTCAAAGAAAAAAAGAATTAGAGCTGGACAGAGAGGCTCCCAGGTACTCGGGAGACTAAGAGCCCACTCAACAAAGAAGCCAGATATTGGGGTGTGCACCAGTCATCTCAGCTATGTGGGAGACACAGTAGTAGGGTCATAGACCAGCCTGGCTCAGGCAAAAAGCAAGACCCTACCTAAACAATTAAGTCATGTAGTGGTAGTTAATGCCTGTAATCTTAGCTACTTGAGAGGCTGATAGCAGAAGCATCATGTTTGCGGCCCACTTGGGCAGAAAAGCTTGCAAGACCCATTGTCTATAGCGCAGTATGGTGACACAGTGTCTGTCATCCCAAGTTATGTGGGAGGCTAAGATTGGAAAGCCAGGGTTCCAGGCCAGTTTGGAGAGCAAAGTCCATGAGACTATCACCACCAAGTAGAGCTAGATATGGGGCATACTAAGGATCTCAGTGACTAGACAGCCCAGAATAGCCAGATCATGATTCAGGCACATGTCCAGATAGGAAACAATACCCTGTCTCAAAAAAACACCATAGAAAAACAGGACTGGAGGTATGGCTCAAGTAGGAGAGCACCAGCCTTGCAAGCACAAGGATGAGTTTAAAAAGTTTGAGCCAACAGTTTTAGAGGTGTTCAGTTCAGTGGCTTGGCCCCATTGCCTCTGTGGCTGTGGAACAGAACATCACGGTAGTGTATGGCAGGAGCTGCTTACCTCACAGGCAGCCAAGAAACAAGAAGAGAGCAAGGGATAGGGATCCTAACACACCCCCAATGACATAACTTCCTTCCTCCAAACAACTCTCAACACAATCTTGATAACATTCAAGGTTGAAAAAATGGTAGCAGGTCCTAGGGCTTCCAAGTCGCTACTAAGTGATTGCACAGGAAGACTGCAGAGCAGGTGCAGTTGCACCTCATCAACCTCCCTTCCTTTTTTTTCTTTTGGTCTGGTCGTGGGGCCTGAACTCTGGGCCTGGGCACTGTCCCTCAGCTCTTCAGCTCAAGGCTAGTGCGCTACCACTTGAGCCACAGCGCCACTTCCGGCTTTTTTTTTCTTTTTGCTTATGTGGTGCTGAGGAATCGAACCCAGGGCCTCAGGCTTGCAAGGCAAGCGCTCTACCACTGAGCCACCTTCCCAGCCCAAAAGATAATTTCTTTTTTGGGGGGGGGTCTGGTCGTGGGACCTGAACTCTGGGCCTGGGCGCTGTCCCTCAGCTCTTCAGCTCAAGGCTAGTGCTCTACCACTTAAGCCACAGCACCACTTCCGGCTTTTTTCTTTTTGCTTATGTGGTGTTGAGGAATCGAACCCAGGGCCTCGAGCATGCAAGGCAAGCGCTCTACCACTGAGCCACCTTCCCAGCCCCCCTCCCTTCCTTTTCAAATGCTTTTTTCTGTGGATTTCACTTATCCTCAGAAGTGTCTTTTGCTTATATGGAAATAAGCTTCCTTCTTCCCTCTGGTGTAGATTAGATACTATCATGATGAGAATTGTGTCCACATGAGGCCAGACTCCAGATCCTAGGTTGAGCTGGAGGATACTGGGTTAGGCTCTGAACAGATCTGCATTGCATTGTGTCAACGTGGACACTATTCATCCAGAAACACACACTGCACAAAATCTTTTACATTTTCCTCAGGGACCTCACTCCACTTAGGGGGAACAGAAATGTCATTTGCTTAGACCTCACTTGTACTTCAAAATCAACTCAGAGGAAGAATGAATCATCTTATCAGAAGCACTTAGAAACTGCGTTTCTCTAAAAAATTAGAACATTCACATTAGCTATCATTTTGTTACCTTTTTCCTGTCCTTGTAACCTTACAAATTTTTGCAGTAATTTCTTTAGAGATGAAGGCATGGAGACAAGCCAGATGAAATCTGAATTCAAGTACACATATATTAGCAAGGACAATATTCTGAAGAACCATTTGGGAGCAAAACAAGCCCATTTCATCTTGTCTCTTATGTACCTGAAAAGCCACATGAAGTTTTAAGTCATAAGGAAATATCACGGGTTTTTTGTTGTTGTTTTTGTCAGTTGTGGGGCTTGAACTCTGGGCCTGGGCTCTGTCCCTCAGCTCTTCAGCTCAAGGCTAGTGCTCTACCACTTGAGCCACTGCGCCACATGAATGGGAGGCAAGCCCTCTACCACTGAGCCACCTTCCCAGCCCCATGAATTGTTTTAATGCAGATGTTTTCAAGTATTTTGTTTTTACCTTTCAACTATTATCTCAAGGTACCTAAATCCAGTTGCCAGGAAATTCAGTAAATGCCTTCTAGGACATAAGCCACAGATGTTGATTGCTTCGTATTTAATTCTTTGGTGCTAGAGGCATTGCTTGAGTGATAGAATGCTTGCCTAGCACGTAGAAGACACTGGATTCAAATCCTAGTGCCACCCCTTCAAAAAAAAGTAGAATAAATCACCTTCAACCTCAAAATAAATTTGGCAGGAAATCACACAACTCAAGATCACATAGCATTTCACTCTCAAGAGAAACTCAAGCATGTCTACACACCATCTCATCCTGTCTCTAGCAATAAATTTTTCAAGTCATTCATCTATAAAAATTCAATATTGCAGGTTAACATTCCTTTCTTCTTCCCAAAAAGAGACCAGAAATAAAAATTGCAAAAGTGAAAGTAGAAAGAAAGAATAATGAAGAGCCTAAAAAAAGGCCTGAATTTAGGAAGGAAAAAGAATGGTGTGGCTATGGTAGAGCGAACAGAATGATCCTGCAGAATTAAGTAGACCTGGAGGCAAAGTGAAGCCTAAAGCTAAATACAGACAAGTCATCTCGTATCAGCCACAAATAAAATGCAATCAAAAACTTAAAAATCTTGCTAGAAAAATGTTCCAGAGAAAAATGAATACATGAGAAAAAAAATTGATTATGAGGATCAATTCAAGAACAACTCAGAACAAAGACAGTATGTGTATAGAGAGGAAGGGAGAAGGGAGGACAAGGTGATAAACACAAACTTATTTGGGATTAAGGAAATTTGGTGACATCTATAGTCAGAAAAAGACTATCAACTCCAGGATAATTATTGTATTGACAGCAGAGGCACAGGTCCTAACTCAAGTAAATAAATGTATATGATCATAGTTAGAGGACAAGAATTTAACCAAAAGCACATTGGGGAAAAAAAAGAAAACTTTGTCAAATGTCTAAATAGCTGTTAAAGCACAAGGTTTTTGAGTTTCAGCAGTAGTAGAGTATGAACTTGGCTTTGCACTTGTAAGGCAAGCCCTCTACACCTGATCTGCCTTCAGCCCCAAAGCATAAACATGACAAGACTAAAAATGATGCTCACTGAAAGCTGTTGAACTGTTGGAATGGGAAAATTGAGAATAAGAAAGGCAGTAGGGGGCCAATCTGATTAAAATGCTGTTATCATGTGTAATACCACAGCAAAACCCTCAATAATTAGCATACCTAGAATACAAGTGACAGAAATGTAAAACAGGTCCTGTGATGGAATGGTACTACCAGGGAAGGACAAATAGAAAGGATAAAGGAGGACAAATATGGCCAAATACTTTATTCATTTGTGGAAAAATGTTACAATGAAGCTTCTTGAAACTGGTTTGGGAAAGGATGGAAGGAGTGACAGGCTTCAAGTGGATCAAGGTTCACTGTATGTACATGTCAAAATGAATCATCTTGTTTGTAACTAATTGATGCTGATAAAAATAAACAAGGGGGAAAGAAAACCGAAGGTTGTATCTCCTAGAAAAAGGTAGGAAAAGGACTGAACATTATTCCTTGAAGATTTGCAATATTATTAAACTGTTCATGTCATTTCAATAAAAGCTTCACTCTGAAAAGTAGGTATGCTTATATATGTATATACATATATATATTTATAATTTTTTTTGGTCAGTCGTGGGGCTTGAACTCTGGGCCTGTCACCTGCGATCGACCATTTGAGCCACAGCACCACTAATGCTTATATAGTTCTAAAATATACTGTTTGCAACTTGTTTCCCGTGGCTCTAGGCTTCTCAAAAATGAAGTGACAGTATCAACAAATTCAAGCTCCAGACACCCATGCCTCACCGCCCGCTAGATTGGAGGAGTGGGTCTAGGTAACTAAGGACTCCATGAGCCAAGTAATGCTGTCATACAGCAGGGGCATGAGACCTTCCAGTGGTTGAGGCAGTGGGAGAAGAAGACACTAGCTGGGAACCAACCCTTTGAAGTAATTTGGGTACTTCTCTATAATTTCATACTTCCCATCCCTCGTTGTTTTCTACAGCAAGAAAACCAAAGGCACATGTCTATGGATTCCAAACCAGACCTGCTATACAATAAAACTACAGTACAGTAATACATATTAATGCATTTTCAACTAAAATGCAGGAGTGACCAAGCAACAAGTCTTAATGTTAGTAACTTGAGTTCCAATTGTATGGTTTTTTTTTTCATTTTAGTATCTCATTTTCATCTATTTTAATGCTTCTACATATACAAATAAAACTTTGTCTCCTGACTGCTCCTACCTGGTTCCAGTCATTCTGAACTCTGTCCCTTAAAGCCATAATATTTTCTTCTGTTAGAAAAGCAGCAGTTTTTAGTATAAAAAAAATCTTTATTTCAAAGTGAAAAGCACAAGGTATCATATGGCAGATGTTGAAGTGAGTGCTCTTGCTTGTAAGGTGAAGGTCAGCAAGCTTTCCTGGCATTGGCTAATTCACCAGGAAGTCCAAACAGCTGGACTGAACGGCCTTTAAGTACAGCTGTAAAGTCTAATGGCATACTTCCTTTCGCTGATCCAGTGACAAAAGTTAAACAGTTACATTCCATTTAAAATTTAAAATACAGTAACTTTTCCCAAGGAACAGCTCAAGAAAAATTTTAATCCAGAACTCTCATTTAAGATATTAAAACCCTTGTATGTACGTATGATGGGGTTGGTATTTTTAATCACCACAAAGTAAAAGAAATTATACCTTGGCTAATGATTTTTGTGATCATGACATCAAGTGAAATACCATCCGTTTGCTCTCTACATAAATAGAATATGAACAGTACAAACATTTTACTCATGTTTACTGATTTACAAAGAATATCCAATAATCAGAACTCATCATTTTAATACTGTACATTAAATTAATTTAATCCACCCTTACTAAAAAATTATCTAAGCTGACCCCAAGATAAAAAGTCTCTAAAGCTTATATACATTAGAAATAGCAAAAATAATAATAAAGAAATTAGAAAATATTCATCAAATGCTGAAAATCTAGAAGAATTCTCCAACGTCTGCTCTCTTATCTCGACATTTGCTTCGAGCTTTTGTTCGAGCTTTGAAAGCTGCAGAGTTATATAAATGCTGAAATGAAGAAAAAAAATATGTGGATCAGTAAGATTTAAGATTATCTTCTATACCAGGGGGAAAAAAGGTAAAATCACAAAGGAATAAATTAGAACCGACAAATATTTTAAATGTTTATAAACCACGACAGCAGCACATGAAGAATAAGGGTAGAAATTATCATAGTTAATAACTTCTCCATATTTGTTTTTTGTCAATCATGGGGAACTTGAACTTTGGGCCTGGGCTCTGTCCCTCAGCTCTTCAGCTCAAGGCGAGCATTCTACCACTTAAATCAGTGTCACTTCCAGTTTTCTGGTGGTTAATTGGAGATTAAGAGTCTCATGGACTTTCCTGCCTGAAATGGCTTTGAACCACAATCCTCAGAGCTCAGCCTCCTGCGTAGCTGGGATTACAGATGTGAGCCACTGGCTTCTCTAGCCAGTTTAATCCGCAGAGGATGAGCATGTACTTGAGAATGAGTATTTACACACACACACACACACACTTTAACAAATTCGAACAACAACAAAAGTAATAGCGACAATCTGATCAAGGAAAACACAAACTATTACTAATGTGAAAAGTCCTACTCAGCTGTCAATATGAGAGGTACCATTTTAATAAACTAAAAAAATTTCAACAGTGAAATTCAAAGCTGTCGACTTATCTCCTCTCAATCTTTTGTAATTAGGTGTTATGTACTTTTAATTGTTGAGATATTGAGGAGGGTGACGGGCGGTGTGTGCGTGCTTCATTGCTCTATTCAATTAAACACTCTAGTTTTAATTTACTACTAAATCCTCCTTTATCCTATGGTTTTCACATAGGGTTTCGTAATGTTCTAGTGATAGAAAATGTAAAATCCAAGTGTTACCGTTAAAATGCTTTCATTTTTCAACTAAAAAGAGTAACTTGGAAAATAATCACAAAATACAAATCTAGTCATGACTGACCCCATACAATTTTCTTGAAAAACTCAAAACTGTATGTAAAAATGCTTAATACCTATGAAGATTATGTCAAGCCATCAATCATGTGACCATAACATCAATTCAACTATGATGGGCCAAAAAAATGTGGTACCTGCAGGTGGTACTTCACACTCACCAAGAAGGCTACAGACAACAGAATGAATTGAGTGTTACTGAGGACTGGAGAACTTAAACACAGCTTCTACAAATTTATGGCAGTACAGCAGCTTTCCTTGGTGGCTCCTCAAAAATTTCAAAATTCAGGAGTCTCAAGCATTGGTATATACATCCCCCTGGAAATAAACCTTCAAAGTCCGGAAGTAAATGTTCACAATGGACAAAAAAAATGAAAAAGTCAAATCAACTGATCAATGTATTATTTGGCCACAAAAAGGAACAGAGTTCTGACCTGTGCTGCACTGTACTTGGCAATATTATGCTAAATGAAAAAAGGCAGATACAAAAGTACAAATCTAACAGGGGTACAGGGAGATAAAAATTTTTGTTTTGAGGTAATGACTATACTTTGGAACTAGATGACTTCATCCTATGACTGTAGTAAGTCCAGCAGAATTGTGTACTTTAAATAATACATTATGTGGGGGGAGGATGGGATGGGAAGGGGAAACAAAAGAGGAGACTACAATGCTTGATAAGAAATGTACTCATTATCTTGTCCATGTAATTGTAACCCCTCTGTACAGTATTTTACAATAAAAAAATAAATAATACATTATATAAAACCTCCCTTCCAAAAAAAAAAAAAAAGTGGTTGAGTGCTGGTGGCTCAGGCCTGCTATCCCAGCTACTAGGGAGCTTAAGATCTAATGAGTACTATTTAAAGCCAGCCTGGGCAGGAAAGTCTGTTCCAAAAAGTCAGAAGTAAAGCTGTGGCTGAAGTAGCAGAATGAAAGCCTTGAGCAAAAAAGCTCAGGGACAGTGCCCAGGCCCCAAGTTCAACCCCCAAGACCTGCACCAGATACATAATATATCCTCCGTATCTATATATCTATATGTTAAGATCTCTGAAATATAAGATGATATTCATCACTAATAGTACTAACTGAACAGTCTTGTATGTAAAATGAATGTGACACTAAGCAGATTGTTTACTATGAAAGAAATATGTGAATACATTTTTAAATAAAAACTAATGTATTAAGGTAGCAAAACTATGAATAAAAAGATTTTATTGCTATTTACAGTACATCTGATCCAAAAAATGATGTATCAAAAAAAGCAATACTAGGGATAAAACTGAAGACCTTGCACATTCTAGGCAAGTGGTCTACCACTTGATCTACACCAGCCCTTTACTCTTTGTGTTTTGTTTCTGTGTTTTTGTTCTAAGCTGGGTTCCAACTCCTTTCCTCCCCCGTTCTAACACACACACACACAGCACACTGGCTGAGCCCTTTAAGCTGTTAGGACAGCTGTTCTATACCACACACATCAGGAAAACAAAAACTATGTTTCAATAGGCACAACTAGGTTATAGGAACTTAGCCAGAATATAAACTCAGACTCTTTAGTGTAGTAAAAATAAAGATAAAACTTTACCCTTTCAAATCGAGAGATCTTCATTGTTTTAAGCGCTGCGGCATCAAGCATCACGGGGGGTCCAAGTTCAAATACGTTGCGAAGGAATTCATTTGACTTATGTGAAAGAAAAAGGCAGTGAGGTTCAGGATTAAATATCACAGCTCTATTTCACGAATGCATCTAATTAACATAGATACTTATAGACTATGTAAACATGAACTTAGGTCATTTATTTTTGTTCAGGACACAAGCAAACTATTTTCCAATGCCTTGAATCCAAGAAAGCTATGTGAGGCTATTTGCTTTTGGTTTTGATAATGTTCAAGCAGACTTAAAATGAAAAGCAAAGTTTCAGATTTATTCATTTTTACTTTAAAAAATAATGTGATTTTCAAATATATGGAAGCATTCTAAATATTCAATTAACTTCAAAAGTTAACTAAGTGAACTATATTTAAAATAGTTCCTTAATTTAAAAGCAAACACTTAAAAATATGTCACTTACCTGCAAGTGGTACTGCATCCCAGATCCAAGAACCTCCTTAAAGGTGTCATAAGTGTGTTTTTTGACCCAGCAATCAATATACATGCGCTCGGGACCAAATTTAACAGTTTCTGTTGGAAAATCCCGTTCCTAGCCAATGGAAGAGCAAAATTATCATAGGCAATAAAATGACTCTAAGATTGAATAAATACAATTTCTATAATGAACAGTATTTTAAACTGAACCTTCCATATTGGAGATATGGACAGACTGAGAATTATTATTCATCTAATTGCATAGACAAGCCACAATTACATTTAAATAACAATTACAAACAAAACCACATTATTGTGAACATTTAAAATTTTTAGAAGCACTCAAGAAACTTGGGGAAAGGAAATGTCAGGTGTTTGTAGTAGACTAGGATGTAAACAAGAGAAAACTGCAAGTTGGAAAGACAAAATTGCCTGAATGCTGATGGTAGGAAGCAGGACAGAGAATAAGATAAGCAAGGTAACAACAAGGAAAAGTGATGAACAAATGGCGTGGGGGGAAAAGAGGGAGGATTTTAAGAAATCTCAGCAATGAGAGGCAGCACCTGGATGGAACAATTATGCCAGAAGAATATTTCTAAGGTCTAACTACGGAAATTTAGTCCCAAAGAAACCAAAGTGAGTCACTGGAAAAATGCAGAAAATTCCCAGGGGATGCCACCCAGAATAGTAGAACTTGATAAAATTGGTTGCTTAAGTAGCATCTAATACCAACACACACAAAAAGTTAGGATACACCCTTCTACTTAGTCACTCCCCATTGCAATCTACTACAATCTGGCTTTTCTCCCATCACTGAAGTACCTCCTGTGGAGGTGATCACTGACCTAACTGACAGATCTAACTGACCTTCACTCACTCTCTTACCTGACTTTCAGCATTTGGCACTGCTGAGGGCATAGGAGAGTGAAGTAAAAATTTAGCTTTGCTAATAACTATTCTTCATCCCTTTATTCCCTATTTTTCCTCAAAAAGGAGACAATTCTGCTGCATGAGGGTTATGATAGAACTTAGAAAACTGATGACAAAGATCCCATTATGTTAACTGCTTGAGGATTTAACATGTACATGTACTTCAATAAAGGTTTTGGACAGAGAAATGGTGTGGTAACCACTACCAACTGAAGATACACATTTCTTTACATCCGTGTAGCAGCTTCACTTAAGAGTAACCAGGGAAGCAGGGTCCTCAGTGACAGCTATGTTCCACTGAAAAAGGGGCAAGAACATCTATCAAGGATCTGAGGAGGAACCATTCTTTGGCAGAGACACTGAAGCAGAGGCTAAAGGAGCACAATGAAAGGGTAAAGAGGTACTTGAATCCCAAGACAAAGAGAAGAGGGTGCTTGAGGCCAAGAAAAGAGACCAGGATAGCACAGCCTCACAGTGCTGATGGACAATGGGATTTCTCATCTGTCTTCTCCAAGGTCATCAGCACTGAGTGCTGTGGCTGGCCTGGAACTTGTGGACAGACAAGCTGTCACTTCTACATACCAACAACGACAACTTCTAGAATTGAAATACCCTCCCCTTACCCAAGTGCTGTAATTCCTTAAACCAGATACCTTCCAGCATCACATAGTGATCTACTTTTAAGTAGCCTTGCTCTAAGGTTTGCGCTTTTTTTTTTTTTTTTTTGGTTTTTAGCTTCTATCATTTCTAGCAAGCTCATTAAAGATTTTGTGTAAAAGTAATGTTGGAGAAACTAAAAAGGCAAAAAAATGTATCACATTCACTAAAAACATGTACTAACATGTACAGATGACGCAGAATTGCTTGAATGTCAAGTTCAAAGTAAAATACATAACTATCACCATGTATGTCATTTTTATTTACTTTTTTCTTTAAAAAAAATTTGCAGTAGTGAGAATAGTACTCAAGACCTGCCACTGAGCTAATAATCTCTAGTTCTATATTTCTGATAACCTAATAAAGTGTCCTTCATATTATGTTGGCATTAAACTTCCCTCTGTTTTATGTTAAAATAAGGGAAAAAAACCTTACTTATGTTGTTTTGAAACTATGCTCTCATATTAAAATGAGAAAATTGTTTTATTGAGGTAAAATTGACTGAAGGTAAAATTCAATCAACAAAATGATCCAACTATCAAGTTCAGCCTGAAAAACAACTCAATTTCAAAATGAGTAGCTATTACAGCAGTTAAGAGGCCTACCTCCACAGCCCTCAGGACATCTCTAAAAACAGATCGCTGCTTTCTCTTGTCCACTTTGGCCCGGTGCTTATTTCCATCTGTAGCCAGAGCTCTGAGCATCTGGGTCAAAGAGTCCATGTCTTCATAAAAAAAGTCCTGGTCAAGAAAAGCAATTTTATTTCACTAGTAGTTTTTATGTTACATCATCTCCTGCAGTTACCCAGTCCCAAACAACTCAGTCCCTGAAATCCAATTCTCTTATCCCAAAGGTACAAGCTATCAGTTAGTTACACTTCTTAAAGCATACAATTTCTTCACTGGTTCATGTCAAATAGTTTCCTTGTTGATGTGTTAATATAGTTAAGAAATCTCTTCATTTGGGGCAGTTTTTGTTGTTGTTACCTAACTCTTTCACAATCACATTAAAACCAAAAAACATGACTCAGACTTATTTAACCAAAACTAAAGTAGGTATTTCTTACTCAGAGGTCAGAGGATAAGCAATCTCTAAGTTTTAGTGGTTCAGATTTACTCAATATTTTTTGTGTGTTTCATAAACAGTTCTTATTCTGGACATTTCTCCAACTGTACATGTTAATGTCTCGTCTCAAGAGTTTAAGTGATTTCTCTGTCTACAGCAGAAAAGTTAGAATACTAGTAGAAAATAAGCTTGATATTAAAGTGATACTCTTTGCTTTTAAATTCACAACTGTGTCTTAATGTTCCCATTCAACTATGTCCACATTAAAGAATGTTCACTACAAGGTACAACATAATTAACTAAAACAGAACAAAGTTATGCTGATCACTGTATTTAGAGCCCAATACATGTGACTGCAGTGTAAGATGACAAAAGTTTACTTATTAAGTTATTTCAAAAGCTAGCAATATTTCACTCATTTTACTGGTTATTTGGTTCTTTTAAATTATTACTTTTTTTTTGAGAGGCATATAAAAAGATACATGATTTTCAAATCTAAACAAAATAAAGTTTAAGATAACTCTACATGTTATTTTTGTTTTTAAACAGAGCCTTAAGCTTGCCTAGACCAGGGTATTACCACTTGAACCACACACTACTCCTACAGCTAATTTTTAAAAATTTTTATTATCTTTAGGTAGTTGTACAAAGGAGCTGCCATTTAACAATATATTTTGAGTATGTCTTGACCAGTGTTCACCTCAACATTCTCACCCAGCCTTCCCCTACCCACCCCTTTCCCTCACTTGTCTTAATTTTTTTTTTTTTTTTGGTCAGTTGTGGGGCCTGAACTCTGGGCCTGGGCACTATCCCTGAGCTCTTCAAGTTCAAAGGCTAGTGCCACAGTACCATTTCCAGCTTTTTCTGCTTATGTGTGCTGAGGAATCGAACCTAGGGCCTCATGCATACAAGGCAAGCACTGTACCACTGAGCCACCTTCCCAGCCTCCTTGTGTTTTATTTTGTTGAACTTTGCCTTTCTAAGGAATTTCACTATACGAGTTCTCCTTATTTTTCAAATAGTTATTTCACTTTTTGCCTGGGCTATGCTCTCTACATAGCTGAGATGACAGATATATGGAAACACATCCACTTTCCTTAAACCAAGATCCCTCCATCTCAGCCTCATAAATATTACCCCAAGACTGAGCCACCCCCCACTACATTATCTCAATTGGGTTTAAGAACTTTTACTAGTGATTCTTAACTGGCTAATGATCTTTCCTCCCCAGACACATCTGACTATGTTTAAAGGCATCTTTGGTTTTCACAACTGGGAGGGAGGGATGTTAGTGCCATCCAGTATGCAGAGGCCTCCACCCACAAAACTTCATCAGTGCTGAGATGAGAAAACCCACTATGATCTTAGCAATGGAAGAAGCCTACAACTTATAACTATGAAACACTGGGTTCAATAAAGTACTAATGTTTAGAAAAAACAGTGTCTATTGTAGGAGAAATGGGCATATTGAAACAGAAACAAAGAGAATGTAACATATAAACAGTTCATGAATATGACCCAAAAGACTATTTGAGTATGGCATAACTATGTAATAAAACTATTTGTATGGGAGAAAAGAGAATCCCACAGATAAAACAAGAATCTTAACTCTTATCAACATGAAAATAGCAGTCATTATTATACAACAAGGGCAAAAGTTCTAGATTAAATAAGACAATATGTACAAATTGCCCAATAAATTCTGAAGCATGCATTCTAAGTTTAAAGGAATTTATAGGGAACTAAAGGTCTACGCAAACTCCACCTACACAAGACAGTTTAATGTCATATATAAAACATGGGTTTTCCATCTAAATTTGAACTGCAAGCTTGGACATAATTACATTAGAAACCTGTGTTTCACATGAAATGGAAATAGATAATACTATCCATATCTCACAGGTGTAATATAATGATTAAGTAAAATATTACAAGTAAAACAGAGCTCATGAACATCAACTAATAACGATGGCTAAGATATACCTGTTTAGTCTAACACAGTATAAATATGATAAACAGGTCAGATGAAGATATATAATTATTTCATACCAAAATAGCAACTATCGTAAGTTGATTTCAAAAGTTAAGTAGTACAGATTTGTTGAATGAAATCCCTTTGTATAACTAATTAAATTTAAAAAATTTTAAAGTAGAAATTTTTAAAGTAGAATTGAGATGAGACAAAACTACAAAAAACCTCCAGAAAGGTTAGGCAGACAAGGAAAATACTTAAGGTCACAAAATGTCATTCCTAAAACTAGTATTTCTAATAGACGGGATTGTAAGTACAATGATATAAACTGGATCTTGGATTGCCAATCCTAAATTCAATAAATAAAAATCATGGCCTGAAGTTTCAGTTTACTGATAGAACACCTGCCTACCACGCACTAGATCCTGGGTTTAATCCCCAGCACTACATAAAAAGAAAGGAAGGAGGTAGAGAGAGGGAAAAACAATACAAAAAAACAACACAAATCCCTCTAATCAAATACAAAAATTTATTTCTTTAAATTCCTGCTGCCAGGCACTAGTGGCTCACACTTATAATCCTAGCTTCTCGGGAGGCTGAGATATGAGAATAAGATTCAAAGGCAGAATGGGCAGGAAAGTCTATGAGACTTTCATTTTCAATAAACTACTCAGAAAAAGTTGGAAGTGGCACTGTGGCTCAAGTGGTATTAATACTAGCCTTGAGAAAAAAAACGTCAGGGACAGTGCCCAGGACCTAAGTTTAAGCGCCAGGACTGGTGTACACACACACACGCATGCACAAAATCTTTGCTAATCAAAAGCTAACCACTTTGCCAAGGTATCAAGGTATGGAGACATTTTTCACAGGTAGGTTACAAAGAAAGAAGACAGGAAACAAGAAGAATGTTGAGCTGCTTCTTCTGAAATACAATATCTAAGGTGTATCTAATTAAGTAATGGAATGTTAGTCTTTGGGTCCCCTTTTTTCCCAGCAGTATTCGCCTTTCAGTTAGGCAAAGATAAAATAGGAAGAACTGAGGAATAGTACATACACTGATGCATGATTTAGATCAGCACACTGCATGTCCCCATGATGAATAATTCTTCCCATCTAATAGCCTCTCATATTCTCATATTTTAAGTTACCCCAGAGTTCGTCAAAGGCCACTAGGAGACTCCAGTTAGAAGAGATAGAAGCCAAGATTGTCTCAGACATATACTAACCCTTACAAGTAAGGGAAACCATGGCTTACTTCATTTAATATGATTTTTTTCCAAGTCCTTTCATTTCCTTAAAATGGTGGGGTGTCATTCTTTCAGACTGAAGCATAAAATTCCATTTTGTGTGTGTGTGTGTGTGTATGTATGTGTGTGTATATACACACACCACATTTAGTATACGCCTAGGACAATCTTAGCAGATGAGCAGAATAGCTCAATAGCTACGTACATATGACCATATAGGATGATGCTAAGCAAAATGAACTCCAACACATGGACACAAAGGTTTTTTTTCTTTGTTGCTGTTGTTTTTAATGTACTACATGATCTTTGTGGTTATCCCGTTGTTGATTTTGGTATCCTAGGTGTGGTATATATGTTTATATGAATTAGGGAAGGAAAGGGGAACAAAAAAATGGTGAGACGAAGGACAAATGGGGAACCACAACAGTGACACTCACAAGACACTATATTGGAAATGATCTGTACAACTTGGGAGTGGGGGAGAGAGAGGGAAAGAGGGAGAAAAATGAGGGAGGGGGTAACAAGTTAGACAAGAAATGTAAACCCTACCTTACTTATATAACTCTGTGTATCACCTTGACAAATTAAAAAAAAAAAAAAAGAAAGAAAGAAGGGAAAGAAGCCAATATTCAATCCAATAAACACTTATGGTAAATGCTACCACTTACACTGTATTACATGTATTCTCACTTCTAAGAGTTAACACCATTTTCTCCATTTTAAAGACAAGGACATTGAGGCACACTGCTCCGTATCATCTAAAAGTAAGGTGAAGTGCAACATGAACCTAGGCAGCCATTCTTACCTACTTTTATGGCAAACAGCTTAAGTTAAGAAAGCTCTTACAAAGGAGTAAAAATTCTTCACTTCAATTTTAAATCAATAGTTATTTAGACTTGGGCTGGGAAGGTGGCTCAGTGGTAGAGTGCTTGCCTTGCATGTTCAAGGCCCTGGGTTCGATTCCTCAGCACCACATAAACAAAAAGAAAAAAGCCGGAAGTAGCGCTGTGGCTCAAGTGGTAGAGCGCTAGCCTTGAGCTGAAGAGCTGAGGGACAGCGCCCAGGCCCAGAGTTCAGGCCCCACGACCGGACCCCCTCCCAAAAAAAGTTATTTAGACTTAACAAACTTATTCTTTAAACTTTAAACCTGAAACTCAGCACATCAGCTCAGCTCCTTCAGAATGTTTTAGTAAATTCCCCAGGCAGATTTCATCCCACTGTTAAATAATTATATGAACAAAATAATTAGCAAAACATTCTGAGTAATTTAATGCCTCTCATTTGTTACTATAACTATTTTAAATCTTCCTATGTATTTCATCAATCAAGTACTTGGTTTATGTTTTATTTTCACTTCTGAGAAATTAACCCAAGGCCTGATATATATCCTAGACAAGGCGGTATTTTACCTCTGAATAAGCCATAAACCCTGCAAAGGGGTTGGGGAGATTTTTTTGTTTTGATGGTAATTTTATTGTTATTCTTAAGGAGCTGTACAGAGAGGTGACTATTTCACAAATTAGGTAATGAGTACAATTCATTCTAGACAATGTCACCCCTTTCGCTTTCTCGGTTTCCCCCTCCCATCCCCGCCTACAAGTTGCCTTGGTTTAACTTTTCAACACCCTGTCATTACATCACTATTGCACACATCTAAAAAGCTTATTTACTCATGCGCAACCCAACTCATATTTTCCTTGGCAAAGATTTAAATCATATTATTCATATTTAAATGAGTCTCTTGGCTACATATTACATCAGAGAATAAAATATGTTACCCACCTATATTTATAATTTTTACAATTTACAAATTTTAAACAAATTCAGGGCTGGGAAGATGGCTCAGTGGTAGAGTGCTTGCCTTGCATGCCTGAGGCCCTGGGTTCAATTCCTCAGCACCACATAAGAAAAAAAGAAAAAAGCCGGAGGTGGCGCTGTGGCTCAAGTGGTAGAGCGCTAGCCTTGAGTTGAAGAGCTGAGGGACAGCGCCCAGGCCGAGTTCAGGCCCCACTACGGGACCCAAAAAAAAAAATTTTTTTAAACGAATTCAATATGTGTATCTTACATTAAATTATTTACTTTTATGATATAGTTCAAAATAAGAAAGAAAAAAATTGCTATTTCCAGCCAGCATAATTTAAAAAACTGTGACATCTGGTTTCTGTGCCTTGGGATTAAGGCTCATTAACTATAAAATAAATTGATTACTAAGGCTGAATCCAATTTCTTACGTAAGGAAAATCATTCTTAAGCTAAAAAGTTCAAGACCAGCAACCCTGCGCCCCCCCCCCACCAAAAAAATTGATACCCACGTAAACTATAAAACCTTCGCATTTTTAAGATGCATGCCTAGAATGGAATGAAAAAGACTAATGATAAACAACTCTGAACAATATATTGATTTGAAACCTACTACATAACTCCTTTAATTGTGGACAAATAAACAATATGCAAAATAATCAAACATCCTACTCTGCCTGAGACAGAGGGTCCCTGGAATGCAGGACTTTCAATATCAAACAAATTGTGACAGCTGACCAAATTATCACAAACTCAAATACATTCAAGAGCCAAACTTTAATAAAAACCATCTGTGGGGTGAACTGTAGATAGAATTGCAAAGTACATGCACACTTTAAAAGCCAATGTTAAATGACAGTGATTGAACTCATTCCAAAATTATGCTAACTCACTATTTCATCCATTTACTATAAACCCCACACTACTGTAAGGTGTTAGGAATCTTAGAAATCCAAGCAGTTCTATAGAATAGGTCATACATATGGTATAGAATATCATCCCTAAAATTCAGTTCTATAGGGAACAAAAGTATAATGAACTACTACAATCAATTGCTCCACCAACTCCTATTGATTTCACAATTTCAAAAGTACAATTGTCAACAGTCAAGACGCAGGTCAACCCATCACCCTCCAAACTTATTACCCAGTTTCTAATTGTGACAGTCAGTGCACTAATGGTCTTAGGGTACAAGCCTCTTCTCTTAGAAACTTACACTCTCCATTCCTCTGGCCAGTTCAAACAACAGTGCCAAAGATTCACCTGCAGCTATCCTCATGTTTACATCATCACAGGAAAGGAGGCTTGGAAGTTTATGGAAATGCCTGGAAAAGAATTAGCCATTACTATGTGTATGCAAATCAATTATGCCAACTAAAATGATGTTTTTATGAAATATCAAACTATAAATACATACGTCTCCAGCTTTTTCTTCACTTCATTGATTGGGCAGATGGTCAGTAATAATGTCCATGCAAGAAGGGAGCTGATATGAAGAACTGTGTTAGGTGTGCTGCAAGTGATATTAGTGTCTTTCTCTTTGAGATAGGACTTAGAAAAGATATTTTCCAAACATTCCAGAGTTGAATAAAGCTCCTAGTGGACAAAAGTGTGAAGTAAGATAGCCATCTTAAATTAAAAATAATTTTACATAACTGATTCAAGATTTTCAACTTACAGTAATGTCATCTGTGGCAATAAAACAGCAAACACCAAAGCAAGTTGCACACTGAAAAAAAAAAAAGAAAATAAACTGACATAAATACAAACATTTTCACCTACTTTACTGTCCTAGGGTTTAAGCATAGTATAGGAAAGGGGGAAGAGAAAGAGTACTAAGCCAAGAGTCAAAGAAAGTACATTTCAGCTGCAATTTTACTATCTAACTCAAAACTCTTGTAAGAGAGTGAGCTTGCTGGTTCTTTATTAATTCATAAAACTAGGGGTATAGTGTGTGCATATGTTATAATTTCTAAATCTATTCTAGCTCTATTTTCTACTAAATTACTTTCCTTACTCTACCCTGAACAAAGCATTTCAAGGGGGAACTACATTATTATTGTTTCTTTTCAGTATACTTTACAGGTGACTCCAACTTCGTTTAAACTCCAACTTTAACACACTCCAACTTTATAAAGATGGAGATAAAGCTTGGGTATCTGTGATAAGGAAATTTAATCTCTCAGTTAAAAATGCTTAAAACTACTAAGATTGTTACTATTTTTTAAACTTTTAAATGATTGTATTTGTTGATTTTAATGAATTTTCTTAAATGAGTATTTAATGAATATTTCTTAAAGCATCCTTCAAGCCAGGTGCACGTGGTTCACATCAGCAAGCCTAGCTAAGATGAAGAAGGCAGGTTTTGGACAACCTGAGTAGAAAAAAAGTCCTTGAGATTCTTATCTCTAATTAACCAGAAGAAAAATCTCAAAGTGGAGCTGTGGTACAAGTAGTAGAGTACAGCCTTGAGCAAAAAGCTAAGGGACAGTACAACACCAGTACAAGCCCCAAGAACAGCACTAAAAAAAAAAAAAAATGCAAAAAGCAAACATAGAGCAGAAATCCAAGCATCAGAGAAGATACATTATTTCACAGCCAGAGGTTCTACTTCTTTTCAAATTCAACTTTTCTAAGGATTTATACAGAACATACAAAAAAAAATTTTTTTTTTGGATTTATTATTTTTTTTTGGGTCCAGTCGTGGGGCCTGAACTCTGGGCCTGGGTGCTGACCCTCAGCTCTTCAGCTCAAGGCTAGCGCTCTACCACTTGAGCCACGGCGCTATTTCAGGCTTTTTTCTTTTTGCTTATATGGTGCTGAGGAATCGAACTTAGGGCCTCATGCATGCAAGGCAAGCGCTCTACCACTGAGCCACCTTCCCAGCCCACAAAAAAAAATTTAAACATAAATTACAAAATTAAACACAAATTAAACTTAAATTATAAGAATTAAAAAAATGACCACACAATAAACGTTAGTATCTAAACCACTTGAATTAAGTCATGTTTAGCATCCATATATGATGGTTAATTTTAAAGAAATTTGCACTCTAGGACAGCCTTTGGAATATGAGAACATTTAAGGACACAAATGTCACATTTAAGATTTTTTTCACTAAAATTATAAAGATAAATGGAATATACTTTTTATGCCTTAGTACAATACCTCGATAGATGTATAAATGTCAGCTGTTACACTTACAGTTTGCCTAGCCTGAACACTAGCTGTCCCATCACAAATGATTTTCTTTAGGACTGGTCCAAGAGTTTTTAAAATCTCTTCACTTTCAATTCCCGGGCCCAGCTGAATACAAAGCACAGATGCTAAGGCAGCAGCAGCTCGCTGTTCATCACTCTTCCCTAGAAAAGTAGCCGAGATATAGCCATATATTATTTTCATGAGACTTATTAAGACAGTAATCCACAACACATTTTCAATTACCCAACAGTATCAATCATTTATGAAATTCTAGTATGTTCCACATTTTGACATATGGTAGAAGGACTCTACCTCAAATTTTAGATTTACACTTAACTTGCCAAACAATCTGTAAAATACTCCCCTAAGAGAGTAACGTAATTATTTAAACAAAATAAATATTTCACGTCAATTGTTGCCTTCCAATTCCTTATGGTACTCGTGAACACTGCTTGAGTAGCCCCTGAAATAATCTAAGCACAGAAGTACATGGCCCATGAGGCAATCCTTCAAGGTTTCCCTTCTAACATTTTTTAAATGAATGAGATTTGATTAGACACAAGAGAATCTTTGTAATTAATATGCACTTAAGAGTTGAAGCAAACTGAATTTATACTTAAAAATATATAAAATACACAGACTAGAAGGAAATTTTAAGAGACTTAAAATTACCATTATGGAAGATGGTTTCAATGTAAAATTCCTTTTTTTAAAAGCCACTGCACTATGTCAACCAAGTTGGCTGTGCCATTAACAATAACACTAAAATGTTACATAAGCTTAGAGACATCCCACTTCTCCTAAGCCTTTCCTCATTCTCTAAGTTGATCAAAGGTTTTATTCACGACACAACTTGCACTGAGACAAAATAAGAAAAGACAGTTCTATTTAAAGAACACACATGCTTCACTTATTTTTGGTTAGAAGTATTTTGTTAAATGGACAGTAATTAGTTCTATAATATCATAACTTAGAAAAGTAAATTAGCAGGTAAAAAAGTTCTTAATTTTGGTCATTCCTTAAACTAAGATGTCTACTAACACTAAATCTTGAAAGTCTCTCTTTAAATGTTGTATCATCTGAATCTGCCTGGTAAGGTGGCTCATGTCTACAATACATTAGGAACACCACAGTTGGAGGCCAGACTGGGCAAAAATATAAATTCCTATCACCCCAGCTCTGTAAGAGATGTTAATAGGACTGTCTTGATTTTAGCCAGCAAAGGCAAAAACTTGGGACCCCATTTGAATAATAACTAAAGAAAAAAAAGAAGGGTGAGACTAGGGTTTTTCACTCAGTGGTAGACTATCTGCACCAAGATCCGAAGTTCAAATCCCAGTACTATTTAAAAACAAAGAAAAAAAGAGCCAGGTTTCTGTGATTCACATCTATAATCTTAGCTTCTCAACAGACTTTGATCTGAGGATCAAGATTCAGAGCCAGCCCAGGCAAACAAATTCAAAGACTCTTATCTACATTTAACCAGCAGCAATAAGCCAGAAATGGAGGTTTGGGAGAATACCAGCCATGAGCAAAATCCAAAGGATAGCACAAGGCCCTGGGTTCAAGCTCTAATAACCTAATACTGGCACACACAGAAAAAGAAAAAGGAAAAAACAGAACCAAAACCAGAACCAGAAAAACAAAAAACCTATGACCCTAACATTAAGATTTGCAAAGAACTCTTATTATAAAGTTCTAGAATTATAATATTCCAAGAGAAATTCTGAAAATGATGTAATCTACTGGCATATTTGATGCTGTAAAAGTGCAAAGGCAAATGAGTTAAGATGATGATGGTGCTTTTCCAAGTTTAGAAAATGAAAGAGAGCATCATCTGCATCATCATACTTTCTGTTGCACTCTTGACACTTCTAGGCCTTTCTGATACAACCAGAAGATAGCAATCACCTCTTCTGCTATACAAAGAATGAAATTGTACCCAGTCCTTTCTAGCTTCAATCTTAGAATGTGAACAAAAAGTTTCTGACCAATCTCATCCTGCATTAATGCATATTCCTTTACTACCACAGAATGAGCTAGTATTCTGGTGTCATTAACAAATGTTACTGCCGAAGACAACCAATTCCTTGTTAGTTCTGTCCCAGTGACTTACAAATAAGGGCGTTACCTTTTTTCAGACAGCGTTCAATGCTATCAGTCAAAGTCATTCTTCTTTCCAGAATAAATTCATAAAGCATTTTTGAAGCCAATGCATTTTTAATTCCTTCAAGAGCTGCCTGCCTTGTTTTCGCACTATTTAAAACAAAATATAAAAGAAAAATCCATTTGGGAATCTATTATCAATGACTTCAAACGCAGAGCATATGGTTATATATAGACCTTTTTAATCTAATTATGACAAACACTTTTGAGCAATACAATTTTAATCTACAACTTACCTCAATACTAAAAAGAAGTATACCACAACATTTTCCTATTATGAGTTCGGGGGATTTTTGCTTATTTTTGAAACTAGGTCTCACTATGTACCCCAGGCTGGCCTAGAACTCACGGTCCCTTGCCTCTTGTTATTACAGGGACCTAATAACAGCCGCCAACATGCCAAGCTAACTTATTACTCTGATAACTTTCAAGTGACCACACAGCTCTGTGGTTCTCACAGTAATCACAGCCACTTAAATGATGGAGATGAAGAGGCCAACTAAGGTAAAGGGCCAGGTCAGGTAAAAAGTTGATGAGGTTCCATTTCAAATAATATGGTAAGATGGGTACAGTGGAGCATACCCGTAGTACCAGCTACACAAGGAAGTACAGAGAAGAGGATCTTAGTCCAGGCCATCCAGAGGCATTGTTTTGTCATGTGGTCTATCACATCTCAGCACCTTGAGTATTGGGATTACAGATATATGCCCACAGCACCCACTTAAATTTGCTTTTGTTGCTTCTTTTAAACAAAACAAAACAACAACAACAAAACAAATACTAGGAAAAGTTGTATATCAGATCTGTAATCCTAGCTCTGCAGGAGGCTGAGATCTGGGGATTACAGTTAAAATTGAGCCTGGGCAGCAAAGTTGTGAGACTCTCATCACCAATTAACTACCAAAAAGCCAGAAATGGAGCTACAGTTCCAGTGGTAGAGTACTAACCTTGCACAAAAGCACAGGGACAACCCAGATGCTCCTCAGTAGATGAATGGATCAAGAAAATGTGGTATATATACACAATGGAATTCTATGCCTCCATCCGAAAGAATGACATTGCCTCATTTGTTAGGAAATGGAAGGACTTGGAAAAAACTCTATTAAGTGAAGTAAGCCAGGCCCAAAGAAACATAGGTCCCATGGTTTCCCTTATTTGCAATAACTAGTAGATGTGTGAGACAAGCAGAAATGGTCAGATAAGTTGATGTTAGGCAAAATGAACCCCAAGTAAGGACTCAAATGGTTTTTATTTTCTTGCTCTTGTTTCTAACATATTTTAAGATATTTCTTTGTTGCTTTGTATGTCCCTCTCCCATGGCATAACCCGTTTTCACTGTATTTGATGTTGGTATAATTTGGGGAGGAGGTGGTGGACCCATTGCAACAATGAGATGTACAAGACATTAAGTCGAAAAACGAACTTTACAACTTTGGCGGGGGGGGGGGGGGGGGGGGGGGGGGGGGGGGGGGGGAGTTGAACAAGGGGGGACAGGGGGAGGGGAAATAGGAAGGGGAAACAAAGGAGGAAGCAACAATTACCTTGCCCATGTAATTGTAACCCCTCTGTACAGTATTTTCACAATAAAAAAAAATTCAAATATTAAAAAAAAAAAGCACAGGGACAGCGCCTAGGCCCTGAGTTCAAGCCCAGAACTGGTTTAAAAAAAACAACAAACATACATTATGAAAATCTCAAATTCATGTTTGCCTCTTATGGGCTTTATGTTTCCATTCATCTATCCATTTTCTATGAAGAAATTCATTTTATTCTCAAAATTTTCATGTTCATAACAAAGTTAGTAAACAGCAGCTTACAGCAATGTTTAGCTGTCATTTCCAGTTGAAGAAGATTTTTAATTCAAAAAATTTCCTTTCTGGAAGTGGCACTGTGGCTGAAGTGGTAAAGCGCTCACCTTGAGCTGAAGAGCTAAGGGGACAGCGCCCAGGCCCAGAGTTCAAGCCCCACAACCAACAACAACAAAAATTTCCTTTTACTATTACCAAATATAGTTATATATGTGCTGTTAACACTTTAGCAGTGACTTCTAAAGCCATCTAAATCCAATGACACACAGCTATCTACATTAAAAGGTCCAAGGAGCAAGCAACATGAAATCATCCAAAGTAAATAAATCAAGCTCTAAAAGAAGAATGATATAGCAGACTACTATACACATTATATAATAAAGTAACTGATTAGAGGCAACTACATGACAAAGTTCTTAGTATGCCTACCTTTTATCCAGGGTTAAGTCGATTAATCCCTTCAACTTGTACTCTAAATCTTCTTGAGTTCCTTCCTCATCAAGGACTTCTGGCCCTACAAACAATATAGTTTAGGTAAGAAAAAGATAGATGAGGGAAATAATAGTATACTTTAGCTTTAAAAATTTCTCCACCTACAACATCTTTTTATCTAAAGTTGTCAATTGAAAACTCATACCATCTTCAGCAAAACTGGAAGGATCACTGTAACCACTGCAATGGCTCATTGTTTCAATTGATGCATCTTCATCACTAAAAGGTTGAACATTTCGATGCTGGCCACCTAGTAAGTAAGACAGAGAGGTCAATGATTTTCTTTTTCCTGCATCCTCCATTTCTTTTCCTTTGTAATACTGGGAATTATACCCATAGCCTTGTGCATAGTAGGCAAGCCCTCTGCCACTTCAGCTATGTCTCCAAAAACTTGTCTTTGTATTTTGTTTTTAAGCAGAGTCTTGTTTTTACTTTGCCCCCTAATTGGCCTATCCTTCTGTGCCACCTCCAAGTGGGTGGGATTACAGGTATGCACCACCAAACCTATCTCACATGAACAAGTTTTTTTTTTTTTTTTTTTGTCGGTCGTAGGGCTTGAACTCTGGGCCTGGGCGTTGTCCCTCAGCTCTTCAACTCAAGGCGAGCGCTCTACCACTTGAGCTACAGCGCCACTTTGACATGAACAAGTATTTAAGTTGAGAAATGAGTATGAAAAAATTGTTTCAGGGCTGGGAAGGTGGCTCAGTGGTAGAGTGCTTGCCTTGCATGCTTGAGGCCCTGGGTTCGCTTCCTTAGCACCACATAAGCAGAAAAAAAAAAAAGCCAGAAGTGGCGCCGTGGCTCAATTGGTAGAGTGCTAGCCTTGAGCTGAAGAGCTGAGGGTCAGCACCCAGGCCCAGAGTTCAGGCCCCACAACCGGATCCAAAAAAAAATAAAATTACTTCAAAACTATTTCAAATCATGAACAAAATGAAAATAGATATATCCAAATGTTAAGAATAGTGTTATTTTTAATCCCTTTAAAAATAGTCTATCCTCGTTAATTCACAGAATAAATGAGTAACTTAGGAATTTCAAGTAATAAAAAAATTTACTGAGTTATGAATTACATTGAGCACTGAGTTAAAATGCCCCAAAAGTAACCTTGAGTCAAATGGTTACCTCTGAACCCAATTTTCCTGTATGGGTAAAATCAAAGATAGTATCAAGTATCATTAGTTCCCTACATTCAAGGTCAGATTACTTACTATCTTCAGTTTATTTTTTAAATCCTCTAAGCTTAAGCTTGTTAACAGTTGACTTATTTTTCTCTAGAGTGTCCTTTTTAAAATCCAAACAGAGAAGTTGGCAAATGTCAAGTTCAATCAATACAGCAAGTGGCCTTCAAATTTGTTTTCTTGGTGCCAAAAGAACTTCCAATAGTAGTATGTAATGAAACCAAGGTTCCCAAACTTCTTAACCACAGTAATCAAGATAGAAATAAAGATCTATCACATCAGATTCTATGTCCAGATCTGTCTTTTGTCTTCAAGACAAAAGAAGTTACAGGTTCAGTTGAGTGCCAAGTGAATAATCTTGCTTACTTACAAGTCAATTTAATTTTTAACTGTTTCATAGTTAGTCTGTTTTCTAAGATTGTTCCTCTTAGCTCCCTTCTCTGAACTAATCAGCTTTAACTTCTTGCTAAGATTTAAGGAAAAAGGGTTTACAAAAAATAAAAAGAAATTAACTTACATGAATGCCTGCTAAGTTAAATTCCCCTTGTGACCCTAAATATTGATACTGTAAGTCCTTATTTCTGTAGACCTATTATGAAAATTGTTTTTTTCTCTTTTAAAATGCTTTCTTCAAATTACACCAAAGGTTATGCCAGGGAGATGCATACCTGTATTAACAAAGTCAATTTTTTAGCTTCTTAAGTCTCTAATAACTTTAAAAATACTTTAAATGAACAACTAATGAAAATTATAAAAGTTGGGTAATCTTGTTACAGCAGGGACTTCTAAATCCTAATTGTTCCAGCTATCATTAAAAATTTAAAATACCACTGTGTGTGTGTGTTTGTTTTGGGGGGGGATACAGTATTGGATTTAAACTCAAGACTTTGTGCTTGTTAGGAAGGTAGTACTCTACCAGCTGGCACACTTCCAGCCCTTTTTGCCTGGTTAATTTTCCCAACAGGGTCACTCTTTTTGCCAGGACCATTAGACCTCAATCCTCCTCAACTTAGCTAGAATTATTGTAGACCACCATACTCCACTGGTAGTGCTTAGTAAGTACAAGTTTGTGCCAATTTTCCAGCCCTTCCTCAAAATATTATCCAGTCACTTTTTCATTGACCAAGCAAAACATTCACATGTAACCAGGTCTCATGTAACACAAATGCTAATCTTATCCCATTCCTTTCTGCAGTTTCACTTGAAGAGGCAGTTAACAAGGCTTCATATTGGAAATATGTTCACAGCACTGAGTTTTTGCTTACCCTATACTTTTTTTAAAAAATTAGAACCAGTTGTACAATGTACCTGGATCAGACTTACTACTCCCTGGCACCAGGGGCTCACGCCTGTAAGTCTAGCTACTCAGAAGCTGAGATCTGAGGATTGCAGTTCAAAGCCAGCCTGGGCAGGAAAGGTCATGAGACTCTTCTCTCCAATAAATCACTCAGAAAACCAAAAATGGCGCTGTGGCTCAAGTGGTAGAGTACTAGCCTTGAGCTGAAGAACTGAAGGACAGCACTCAGGCCCAGAGTTCAAGCCAAAAAAATAAATAAATAACTGTGTAAACCAACATTATAAACCAGGAACACTTTCCATTTGTCAAAGTTAAAAATCTCTAAATATGTGTCCTGTACATGCTAAATTGAAGTGTACTATTTTTCCAACAAAAATAGTAAAAAGGTAGCAGTAAAGAGGTTGATCATAGGTTACAAATGAGCCTGAAGCCAAAGATGAGAAGCAATCCTTAGGCCTATACTGTAAAAATTGCATAAGAGAATAAAGAGGTCTGCTAGGAACTTGCAGAAGTGAAGAGGTGTGTGGTCCAGAGACGCTGTTAACACTAGCACCACTGCTTCTCCAGTATTTCAATTTCATCGACCTAAAAGCATCAATTTTATGTAAATGTAGTACATACATAAAATTAGTTAAGGTTCTTCTAAACAGAATCAATTGTTTGTTTTAGAAACCAAAAAGCTGCAACACAAATGTGTTGCAGTATCTTCAACCAGAGCAACTAGATGCCATAAACTATTATATGTTGATAAACATTTTTTTTTTTTGGTCGGTTGTGGGGCTTGAACTCTGGGCCTGGGGACTGTCCCTCAGCTCTTGAGCTCAAGGCTAGTGCTAGATCACTTGAGTCAGGGCTCCACTTCCAGTTTTCTGGTGGTTTATTGGAGATATTTGAACCGCAATCCTCAGATATCAGTCTTCTGAGTAGCTAGGATTTCAGGCTTCAGGCACCGGCGCCGCGACCGGCTAGGAAGCAATTAATTTTATAAAACCCAGAGAGGAGTCAATAAAAGAGCGATCAAAAAAAGGAAAATTCACATTTATTCATTTCCGTCAGCGATTAATGTTTAATACATGATAGCAACTTTCCAGGCTGCTCTAAATTCTGTAAGAAAGCTTTTAAATGCTAGCTTCCAATACTGATAGAAGATAACACGTCAAGATTAATACATTTGCTTTTCCGATGGAAAAAAAAAGGGGGGGCAGGATCATAGTGTGCAAACTATGTCCACAAATACCTACTGGTTAATATTAGCTTAGTGAGATAACACCTTAACATTTTCCAGTATTCAACCCCATCATCTTAACAAACCTATTTATTTAAGTGACCGGTACAGTTTAATAATACTAGAGTTTACTGTGTAGTCTCGCAGACAGGGCTTTCTGGTGGGAATCCTTTCTTCTCAGCTATACATTATCAAGTAGAGGGCCGTACGTTCCGCTGAGCATCTACCCATTCGGGAAAAGCTTTTACTTGGCAGTGAGGACACATACCCTCTGAACTTTCAACCAATTGCAACCTGAGCTCTACACCACCTCGGCCAACGCGGGGATCCCTGCGGGGAACCTTCAGAAAGCAGCACAAAGGAGAACGAGGTTCGGCCTCCGGGAACAAGAAGTGGCCCAGGATGGCGCCAAAGGAATTGGGGGGAGGGAGGAGAGGGAGTTCGGGATGCCAATCAGCGGCTGGAGCCCAGCTTAGGGCGGGGCGGCGGCTCCAGCCTCGGACGCCTCCGCCCGATCAGGTGGCCACGCGCCCGGAGAGCTTCAAGCCTCGGGACGGACGCCACGCGCGCGCGCGCCTCTGCGTCACGCCGGCCCCAGGGCCCGGGCCGCGTGACCCCAGCGCCCGGCCAGCCCCGCGGGACGTTCGGCACGCCCCACAGCTCCACGTCGGAGCCAGGGTGGCGGGCGGCCGGGGAAGGCACGTCGCCACTCGGGCTCGGCCCCACCCTGTGTCCGGGACTGCCGGGGACAGCAGGCCTAAGGGGTTACCCCAACCACTACACACACACGCTCAGGCCCCGGCCCTGTTTCCCGCCCCCAAGGCCGGCGCCCAGAGTCCGGGTCGCACGCCAGCTCTTCAATCACGCGAGGCGCGGCGCCCGGGCACGCTGGGAATTGTAGTCCAGCCCCCGCCACGCACCTCGGAGACGCCAGCGTAAGGGAGGGAGGCGGCCGAACTACAACTCCCGCCGCACCCAGGGGCTGGAGTCTCGCCAGAACCGGCCGGCGACCGGGATGCCCGGCGCGGGGAAGATCCCTTACCTGCCGTCGTCGCCGCCGTCCCGGAGCCGCCACCGCCGCCGCCGCCACCACTGCGGTGGGGAGTGCTCCGCTTCTTATTCTTCGGCATCGTGGGACGCCCGGTGCCGCCTAAACGCCCAAGCTCAGCGAGGATCAGCCGATGGAGCTGCACTTTCTACTCGTGCGTCTGTGCGGCGGGCGGCTGAGAGGCGAGTGTTCGGCTATCGACAGAGGCGAGGCGCGGCGGGGGTGAGAGCGGGCGGTGGCGGCAGCAGAAATCCCCGTGAAGAGCTGCGAGCGGAAACGATACATGTTTCTCTCTAGCGCGGGAGCCAAGGCGGGGCGGGCGAGGCCACGACGCCTTAAATAGCCAGACGGCCTCCTGTCGTCACCATCTGTGGGCGGGACTCGAATGCTAGCTGGCCAATTCCCGCAGATCTCCCCACTCGCGTCCTCGGGGGCGGTGTCTGAACCCCGACTTCCAATCCCATGCCGCTTGTCTCCCGTCAGCGCCCCGGCGGTGAGGCTTATGTGGCCGCGCTGGATTTTGGGAAATGTAGGCTCGAGGGGAGGGGCTTCACCCGAAGCTCATTCCAGCCCCACCCACCGATCGGCTGACGGTCCAATTGCGTCCGTCGTCTCGACCACGCCCCTCTCCCTGCCCAGCTCCCCCCTCGCAGTTGACGGCGGTAGTCACCGCCTGGCAGTCTCCGCGCTGACCAAAGCCGAAGGCGTGTGCCAGATGACGCCAGCCGGCTTCCAACAGGGAGCTACGCAATCACCCGCCACGTCTTTAACCTTTCCCCGGTGCTTCCCGAAGGCCTCCCCGCCCATGCACACAACCGTACGCCCCCCCCTTTCCTTGGGAACTTTCCCCTGGTTTTTACTTGGTGAGTTCGTTCAGCAACCGATGACCGAGGTATCTAGAATTGGACCCGCCGTTCAGGACCTTGACCTGTCCACCCTCCGAAAGCGTGTTTAGGTTTGTTCTTGGCGGATCTCAGATCGTAGCCTAGAAATAACCTGTCCACTTAGGGTCATAAGTTTCCACCCCACCCCACCCCCAAAATGTGTCCTTGACTAATCTTCCTGCCAGTTCGAACTGCCAGTCTGTTGGGGCTACGCGAGCTTCACAGCCGGACAAACATACATGAACTATAAATACCGGTAATCACCGTGGGGGTTGTTTTGTTCTGGATCTCTCCCTTCCTTGTTACAACACTTGCTCTGTATTTAGGCTTGTTATTAGGTTCATATACGATGCTTATGACAGGCCAGATTCCCTGACTCACTTCGGTGTGGGTGACTCATCTACTCCACCTCACACCTGAGTCCTGGGTTCGCATTTTAAACTGCCCGGAGCACATTTTCACTGGAAAGTCCCCCTGGCGCCTCAGCCTAACATCTGTAGAACGAATACTGTTTCCCTCTTAGCTTCCCTTTGTGTGTTCGCTGTATTAGTACCCTCTCATGTTCAAATTCTGAAACCCAGATTCGTATACGATCTCTGTCTTAAGTTCTACCCCAAGCGCAAAACTCTTTACATTCATGTCTCCAATCACATCTGACCTCAGTTGATGTTCATACTTCATATCCAGAGCTACTGTAAGAGCTTTTTTTCATGTATCCTCTGTTTTACTAATTCTCCTGTTCTAAAGTGTTTCAAAACATTCCATGGTTCCCATTACTGATATACTAAATGCCAGTCCCCTTAGCCTGGCCGAACTCCCTTTCCAATCTCATCTTCCACCACTTTCCACACGTGTCTGTTCTAAGCTAAAAATCAAACCACTTTTCATTTCCAATACACAACTCTGCTCTCCCATTTTATCAGCCATCAGTTCATACATAGGGTTTCATGTCTTGTAGCTCTTCTTCCCAATTTCAGCTTAAGGATTATCCATCTTTCAAGATTTAGCTGCCATATTGTTGAAGCTTATAAGCCAGAACCCTTTCTTCTGTCTCACTACTCATTAACATGCTTTGTAATTCTCTAATGGAATTTATTACATCCACACTGACCTGTTCAAAGATACTTCTCAAAGGGCACCCTTCCTGGGTTGTTCTCTGCTTAATCCAAAAGCAGGAAGTGACCGCACAGAATATAATAACCAGACAGGATACAGAGTAGTGGACAGCTGCCATTGATGTCTTGGTATCTGGTACAAGCACATAAAAAGCAGCATCTTTGCCCACACAGAGTGCACTGTCTTCAAATTGGAGTGTAGAAATGTAGACTCCATTTGTTTATAACTCTAGGCTCTTGGGTCCACTTAAAGCTTTTGTTTGGCAGGCCTAGTCACATATATAATTATTTTGTTTGCTTGTGAACTCATTTGCTATCTCATGACATTGTTTCCTTAAATAAATTGCTATTTTTATTATTTGTATTCTTCATGGAACATAAAGAAATATAATACTTCTAACTATAAATAGTATATATTAAATGAACAGTTACAGAATGATTGTTTTCTGAGTCAAAGGGGAAAAAACTATGTATCACATACATTGACTTATTTCAGTGCAATGAATTCTGAGACATACTTTGACAAAATTACCCTGTCATCATTTTATGTCTACGGTTTAGCTTTAGATCAAGACAAACACAGAAAGATGTAACCATACTCCTTTTGTAATTGTGATTTTTCACCTCGATATGTTATTTCACAGCATGCTTAAAGAATTACAAGACTCTAAAATCCCAAGTCAATAATTACAGACAGAAAGGAAGAGGAAGTTCCAGAGCAACAGACAAAGAGGCTTTTTCCCAGCCAGGTTTATACTTTGCCTCTTCATTCAGGTGAAAACACTTTCCTTTGGGACTTTAGCTCATGTCCTCTTGCCCATAGCTGCAAAATTGATTAGAAGGAAAGTAATTTTAATATGGTTCACTGGCAATTAAATCTGAGGTTGTATTGATAAGAATGAAGGGGAAGTTGGGGAGATGAGGTTATTGATTAGCAATGCCTACCTCAAATTTTGTGAGACAAAATTTTTCCTGCTGTAGTAAATAAATGATGTACTTGTTACCAACGTGTCATTATGTATTGCTCTAACCTTTTGGTAATAATGATACAGTCTCCTACAAACCACAACTTACTCATTTTAACATTCTATCTAACAGATATCACCATTACAATATATATACTCAAATGTCATAAAAATAATTATATTAATCAGAATTTGGGGACATAGTCTAGAAAACTTTTAAACTATCATTGGGTCTGTGTGTTGGGAGCTTTGGTCAAGAACATGTAACACACAATGGACCAGGAATATAGCTCGGTGGTAGAGTGCTTTTGTAGCATGCACAGTATCTTGTGTTCCCCATCGACTACAAACAAAGCAACAAAAAGAACACGTAACACACATACATTGCAAATCTTCCTTAAAGGTGTAAATATGAAGAATATTCTTTGAAATATTTTATGGCTTTGGCTCTTTGGGACTCTGTATAGCACTGAGCTAAATTATATGTCTCGAGATCCTTTATACAGAATTTGTCAAAATCTGGTTCTCGCCTGTCTCCCAGATCACCTCTCATCACTTAACACAGCCTGTTCCCTCCTGCCATATAGAACTCCTAATGTGTCTACTAGCTCACCAGGCTCAAACTTCTAGTCCTCATACAGATCTGGTACATGCCTGCCTCCGCCATCTCATCTCCTGCTGTCTTCTCACCCACTGCGCTTTCAGCTACATCAGTCTTCTTTGCCTGCTGAAAAACACAAATTTCATTCCCTGCTTGAGACTTCTGCAACAGCTATTCTCTCTGTCTGATGTGATCGTGATCATTTTGAGCTTCCCACAATTGCCATTCAGATTTTGGTTTATGACACCTTCCTGAAAAGGCCTTCCCACTCTCCTTCCCAAAGTAGCATCCTCATCCCCTACACCACGCTGTCTGTGTTATCCTCTAAGCACTATCTAAGACTTTCCAGGTCAGTTATTATTGGCTCTCTTCCTGCTAGGATGTTAGAAGTATAAGGAAAAAGATTTTGTTTTATTGACTCCTGCATCTTCAGTAGGGGAGCAGTATATGACATTGAACAGTGTGTGATATTCAATTAACATGACTAAATAAATGGATAAATGAAGGAACATCGCTTCCCACACCACTCCTTTGTCCTGTAAGTCACAGTTCCTGAACTCCCCAGCTTGTCATTGTAATTCTTGATTCGTTACCTGTTTCCCCATCAGACACAACCTTCTTATGGACACACCAAGTTCTGACACATACACCAGGTCTTTACATGTAGCACCATTATATGAATTAGAAAAGAGGACACCGTGCTGTACAAGCCTTAATGGGCTGAGATTTAGCTCTGACTCTGCCTGCATTGAGGAACCACATGGTATGTAAGTGTGTTGAATTAAATAAAGGAGTGAATTTTTTGTTTATCTGGGCAGATTTCTCAAAGAAACTAAGATGGGAAAGCATAAGCATAATATTTACCACAAGTCCATTAGTGTCATTGACTAGGAGTCTTTTCACATACCTCGTGAGATTTTTACAACTCTAGGCAGGAAAGCTTAGTGTTGGTATTTTGTGGATTAAGAAATAGGCCCAGAAAGGCTTTGGAACTTCCCTAATGTTTTATGCACTATTGGTAAACAATGATTCTGTGATTAAAGTTCAGGCATCTCTTTGTCACATGGGAATGTGACTGCTTATTCCCAAGAGTCTAAGGTTACTTGTGCAGTCCAGCTAGAAAAGGCCTATCTGGGCAAAAAACTTTTCTGTTTCTTTCTTTTAGTGTCTCTTGGCTCTCAGTGTCAGTATTTAGGGTACATGCTATTACTAACAGATTGAGATTTTTCAGATACTTTTTTGTTTTGTTTTTGCGACAGTCCTGAGGCTTGAACTCAGTGCCTATGTATTTTTTTTCTCAAGGCTAGCATTTTGTCACTTTGCCACAGCTCCACTTCTACCTTTTTGGTGGTTAATTAGAGATAAGAGTCTCACAGACTTTCTAGCCAGGGCTAGCTTCAAACCATGATGCTCAGATCTTAGCCTCCTGAGTAGTTATAGGCGTGAGTCACTGATGCCCAGCTGTTATGGTTTGTTGTTTTTATTAGTTCCTGTTATTCAGGGAAGATTTCATTGTTACATTTCTACACATGTTCACATTGTATTCTAATCAATCTCACCCCTCTGTCACTCACTCTGTTCTCCTCCCCACTCCTGTTCCAAAACAATTGCAGCAGATTTCATTTTCTATTTCCATAGTGGCACATAATCCATTTCAACAGTATTAAACCTCCCTTTTTCATTTTTCTTTGTTAACCCAACCTACCTGTTATGTTTAAATTTATATTTAACAGTTTTGCATTTTTGATTCA